CCCGTGGTCCTCCCATGTGTCCACTTAGACCGCGCCAGGCACTACCAGAATTTCAGAAATGAGCTCACACAGAAGAGACAGGGAACAAACAGTCACTAACCATGGCCAGTCAGGCTCTCCAGGTCGGGGGCCCCTCGGGGGTCTTGGGGACCCCGGATGAGCCCCCAAATGTTATGCCCAGAATTCGTGATCCCCAAAGACCACCAGGGAGCCGAGTCCGATGCAAAAGCTAAGAGCCTTTATTTGAGCTAGCTCGAGCTCAATCCCCTACCTGCACCGACGCAGCGATGAGATGCCGGAGAGAGAGCACGAGTTTCAAAAAGCACAAAGGTTTTATAGGGATCTAGGGACAGTTGGTGGGGGTAATGGTCGTTCCCTTAGCCGATTGGCTGGGGAAGGTTCAGAGTCCCGATGCGCAGGTTGCCGGGGATGGTTTGAACGGGAAGTTTGAACAGGTGAGCGGGAAGTTACTCAAGGAGGCGTGGTCTGAAGTTTGAGCGGGAATTTCTTTCTGCAGTTTTCCTGGAAAGGGGGTCATGTCGGGGACAGTCACTCAAGATGGAGGACACAGAACAAAATGGAGTCGGCCGGCTTAGGTCCGCTCTTTCACTCACCTCTCTCTTAAATAATAGAATTTATTAAGCACACTATATCCCAAGAGCTATGTGAAATATCTTACAACACGTTTGCTCACTTAGTAAGAGTTAACCCCACAAGAAATGCTTGGACACGCATAAGAATCAGTCTTCAGTGAATGTCAGACTTTTCCTGAGAGGATCGCTTTAAGGACCATTAGGAAATTCAACACTCCTCTAAGCAGGGTGACCAACTGTCCCATATCGCCCAGTATTGAGGGGGTTTCCTGGGATGCAGGACTTTCAGTGCTAAAACCAGGATGAGTCAGTTACTCCACTCCTAGGAATAGCAGAGGTTGCCACCAAATATAAAAGTTGATTCCGGATACATTATCCTTGTTGAAATTCAAGATGGGTGCTCTGAGATCCAGATTTTTTAATTTTTGATGTCACAAAACATAAATTCTACTTCATGAAGAAAAAAAAAAGAAACTCGTCCAAGAATGGACAGTGGGTTTTTTATTAGAAAAGGAATTATAGCATGGAATCGAAACTCTTAGTATATAGACAGACTTGGATTTCCATCCCTGTTTTGCTGTTTACTAGTTATGTGAATTTGGGCAAGTGGTTAATCTTCAATATCTTTATAAATCAGGATGCTAGTAGCTACCTCATTAGGTTGTTAATGAATACCTAAAAAGGTAGTGATGCATCTGAAGCTCATAGCCCAGTACTGGAGGCACGTATGGTAAGCAGTTATCAGCTGCTATCAATAGGCTAAACCTTGGTCTCCTATTTGAGTACTCCTTTAACTAGACTCCCATGGATCTTCTCCAGAGCCACATTTCCTTTGTGTGTATCTGTCTTTCAAAAAGAATTTACAGAAGCCAAGTCTGGCTTGATACAATAACGTCTTTCTAAAGAAAATAAAGAGTATTCTTCCATTTGCTTCCCCTTGGGAAAATAGTATTTATGAACAGTAACTATAAAATAAGCATTTCTGTAGGAAGCATTTTACAAGGCATTGACTCACCCAATTCCCACAACCCTCTGATCTGCACACTATTATTTCTTTTGAAAGAGGAGGATCCTGAAGCTCGGAGATTTCATGTAACTAGCCCAAGGTCACCTGGCATGACCAGGCCAGTAATCAAATACCGTCCATCCAGTTCTGAACCCTCTTTCTTTTTTTTTTTAATTTTTTTTTTGACATTTATTTATTTTTGAGACAGAGAGAGACAGAACATGAACGGGGGAGGGGCAGAGAGAGAGGGAGACACAGAATCGGAAACAGGCTCCAGGCTCTGAGCCATCAGCCCAGAGCCTGATGCGGGGCTCAAACTCACGACTGTGAGATCGTGACCTGAGCTGAAGTCGGATGCTCAACCGACTGAGCCACCCAGGTGCCCCTGAACCCTCTTTCTTTAATGCTCTAGAAACCCAATGGGGTAACTGCGCAACTGTACTTTGGGAGGGAAGGAGGGCAAGGCTCAAGAAACTTCTTGAGGTGACCCCAACAAGGTCCTGGAAAAATGAACACGCAAGCACCAGGCGGGAAAAGGGGGAGCATTTCAAATGGAGGTAACAACAAAGGCAAAAGCAGGGAGGTCACCTTTTTTTCCCCCCTCTTGAGAGTGGGGGTTGGGGATTGAAGTGCGGACTTGGGGTGCAAAAACCCTTGGTTCGCCCAATATCCACTCGCCTCTCTCCTCGCCCCAGTTTGGCTCCCTGCACCACAACTTCCCGGCCCCTTCGTCCCTTTCCGGGATAAAAGCCCGGAGGAGTTACCCACCGGAAACTGGCAGGGAGGCTGGGGGGAGGAGGGGCGTGTGTGGGGCCGAGAGACACAGACCTGGACGCGCAAGGCAGGGAGGTGGGACCCAACGTCATACCCACGTGAGTTCGCTCTTTTTTCACCCTCGGCCCGCCCGCTGTCTTTCCGGCCGTATTGTGACCCTGGAGAGCAACGCACCTAAGACCCAGGAAGCGGCGCACGGGCCGTCGCCCGCCACCTCACCCGCACGCCGGCTGGAGCAACCGTTACTAACCACTGCGACTGCGCCTGCGCTGGCCCGGCTGACGCGCGAGGAAGCCAGGCCAGAGCCTGGGAGGTGCGGAGGTAGGC